TAATGTATGCTAAACTGATCTTACTGTATATAAAGCAGATAACGAAAATGAATCTTGATGTGAATGGAAGGGGAGAGGGAGTGGGAAAGGGGAGGGTTGCGGGTGGGAGGGAAGTTCTGGACGGGGAGCTATTGTAATCCATAAGCTGTACTTTGGAAATTTGTATTCATTAAATAAAAGTTAAAAAAAAAAAGTACACAAGCTTTGGAAACAAGTTGTTTATTCCTTGTTTTTCTACCATGTGAACACTTGCTATTAAAAGAGTTACTGTGTTTTTCATCTCTAAACCTCACTTCACTCCTCGGTAAAATAGAAATAATAATGATACCCTCAGATACTATATGAGAAATGAATGAGGTAAAACTATGTACATGGTAAAATATTCTAAAAATATTGCTGACTTTTACATATAATTTCCCAAGTCTTCAATCTACTTAGCCCAAAGAAATGAGATTAAAATGTGTTTTAATCTTCCAAAAAAGACTAACCTTTTATCCTACCCTCCAGAGTTAAAATTAAGGAGATGGGCATCATCAGAAATAATGTCAAGTAGATGTAATTCATCATTTTTATAATATTTCAAGTGTCAAAAATAATCTCTTTTTGGCACCAATCCCAACATCAGCCAGAAATGGTAATGTCAAAACCACCATTGCACTTTTTAATTATCTTGAACACTGTGTTTTTAATTTTGCCTTCATTTCAAATTCTTACCAAATTACTATGAATTACCACCAATAACACTTAGATTTGCAGGAATGGGAGAGCAAACACATTTTCACACTATTTGATTAAAGGAGAAATATGAGGTCTTCAGACTTTTATAAGTACATAATAAAGTTCTTTTCAGAGCTGGAAAATATTGCCTAGGTTGAATGAAGTAAAATACACTTGGAATACCAATAACCCTCCGGGCTTTTTGCCCTTTCATCAGTGTAGATTTTAATTGAAAGGACTAATATAATTGTAAGATAAGCTACCCAAACTAATAACAGGACAAAACCACATATTAAGAAAACTGAATTGTCACAATGGGTTTTAATAACAGAAGAACAATACTTTTCATGATTTCTCTGATCAATAAATATAGCACAGGTTATCTAATATTTACATCAAAATCTTAAGTGAAATTAATTTATGAACCAACCTACACATTCGGCCCCAAAATCAACTTCCCCAAGCATGTAAAATTCATGAGTCTCATGACATCACTTTGTACTGTCCATTTGTTCTCTGGGTATTATCTATTGCATGGCTACCTGAGACATCTCTTTGGATGCAGAAGCAACAAGTTATCACCTAACACAAAAATTATTTGATGAAGAAGTCAATTATCAACAGAAAAAATCATGCAGAGAGTTTGCACATAGAAAAATCCAAAGTTTTTCAGTGTCTGGAAGCCAGAGTGAATTCTATTGTTTAACCATTTCTTCTGTTCTCTACCTTTCTCCTCATTCCTCAGAAGATTTGGAAGAGGTCCCATTGTTACGGAAGAGCAGGGAGCACAGCGGGAGCAAAACACAGTAAAAAATGTGTTCTGTATTGGACAACTAGAATCCAATGTGGTTAAAATCACTGAGGACATGGGTGCAAGGGTGGATCATGAGGCCCAAACAATGACCTGGAGCATTGTTTTTTCAAGTGGTTTCATCAGAAACAGAAAAATATGCTACAGTCCTCTCCTGTACAGCATGAGATACCTCAGCCATTAAGCAAAGCTCACTCCCTCTCCCCTCCGGTTATCTCAACCTCTTTCCCCCTTGGAATCATGTGATTCAAGTCCTATGCCAGTTGGCCTTGAGGAGGAAGGATTCATACAATGGCTAGCAAAGCTGAATCTTTCAATCCTGAAGGCTAGGGGCTGTCAGACACCAGAAGCTTCTGAGCAAACTGCAAAGGCTGAAATACCAAATTTCTTTTGTCTATCTTGACAATATTTACTTCAGTTTCCTAGCATGCAATGTAAGTAAATGCAGCTCTGAGTCAGAAGGATGATGAAATTCAAAACAGATTATAAAAGTTTGGGCTGGGAGAAAGGAGTGTTTTTTGACACATATGCCTGTGTGTGTATGTGTGTGTGTGTGTGCGTGTGTGTGTACTTCAGCCTCTGGAAATAAAATGGATTGGATTTCTACTACAGTATAACTAGATCCCAGATAAAATGCCATAATTCATTCCTGGTATAAGAAAGAAAGAGGAATCTATTGGAGAACAGTAACATAAAGTTGCAAAGTTCAGTAGCACCCACATATTTGTTTTATTTTTTAATTTTTACCTATTTATTTGAGAGTAGAGTAACAGACAGAGAAGGGGGAAGACAGAGAGAAAGGTCTTCTGTCTGCTAGTTCACTCACCAAATAGCTGCAACAGCTGGAGCTGAGCAGATCTGAAGCCAGGAGCCAGGAGCTCTCCCACACAAGATTAGGGGCCCAAGCACTATGGCCATCTTTCCATTGCTTTCCCAGGTCATAAAGCAGAGAGCTGGATCAGAAGAGGAACAGCTGGGGACATGAACTGACATTATAATAGGAAGCCAACATCACAGGAAGAGGCTTAACCAACTACCCCACAGCACCAACTCTCCAAATTGCGTGTCTGTAAAGGAAAGCTCCAGTTCAGGAAACCGGTTACAGGGCTCCTAGTGGTGGAGATAACAGCCCTTCACTGTCATCTTGAGATCATCAGGTGTATCTAAGATGCTAAAGATATCACAAACATTGTAAAGTATTCTGGAAGATATGCAATAATGAATAAGTCTTCTGTAACTTTGTCTCTTCTCCTTCTTTAGCAATAAGTACAAATTTTGTTCTTATAAACATTTTTCTTTTAAAAAACGCATTTTAGGTAAACTTTGCAAAGTTTCCTCTTTAAAAAATATTTTCATTTTATTTTAGATGGCCAGAGATAGATCTTCCATCTGCTAGTTCATTTCTCAAATGCCCAAAACATCCAGGACTCAGCCAAATAGAAGCCAGGAGGCCGGTCCTCAATCCTAGTATCCCATCTGGGTGACAGGGACCCAAATACTTGAGCCATCTCCCGCTGCCTCCAAGTGTGCACATTAGCAGGAAGCTAGATCCTAAATCAGGAAAATAATCTATAAAGGACATCTATGGGAAAATTGTCAAAATTTGAACTGAGAGAAGGTTGTATAATAATATTGTATAAATACAAAATTTCTTGATTTTGATAATATACTATTTTTCTTAGTAGACATAAGGTGATAAATGAGTGTAATGCTTCAACTTACTCTGTAATTATTCAGAAAAAAGTTTTTATACACAAAAAGAAAGTACATACATGTGTGTGTATGTGTGTGTATATGTGTGTGTGTGTGTGTGTGTATACGAGGCAGAAAGAGAATGATAAGAGAGAAACAGATGGGCTAAATGAACACAACTGGTGAATCTAGATCAGGTTCAAAGTATTCTGGTATCCCTGTAAAATGTATATGATTTTTCTGAATTATTGAAATAATCTACTATTCTTTTCATTTGCTTGCATTTGACTTCAGAAATATTTAGGAACATACATCTTTAAAGAAATTTCTTCTGGTACTTGATTCTAGCCTCTTGGTTGGGCAAATTTCTCTACCCATTCCTCAAAATCTCCTAGGAAATTTAAATAAATTCCAGATCAGGTCCAATTTTTTTTTTTTTAACTTTTATTTAATGAATATACGTTTCCAAAGTACGAATAATGGATTACTATGGCTTCCCCCCCATACCGTCCCACCCACATCCCTCCCCTTTCCCACTCCCTCTCCCCTTCCATTCACATCAAGATTCATTTTCGATTATCTTAATATACAGAAGATCAGCTTAGTATACATTAAGTAAGGATTTCAACAGTTTGCTCCCACACAGAAACATAAAGTGAGAAATAATAGATGATTTTTTTTAATGATGATGAAATCAGATCAGACCTATTGTCATGTTTAATCCCAGTGAGAGTCAAGTTGGGAGTTGATAGTTTCTTTCTTTCTTTCTTTCTTTTTTTTTTTTTTATCAGAGGACAGTTTAGTATGCATTAAGTAAAGATTTCAACAGTTTGCACCCCCATAGAAACACAAAGTGAAATATATTATTTGAGTACTCATTATAGCATTAAATCTCAATGCACAGCACATTAAGGACAGAGATCCTACATGAGGAGTAAGTGCACAGTGACTCCTGTTGTTGACTTTACCAATTGACACTCCTGTCTATGGCATCAGTAATCTCCCTATGCTCCAGTCATGAGTTTCCAAGGCTATGGAAGCCCCTTGAGTTCTCCGACTCTTATCTTGTTTAGACAAGGTCATAGTCAATGTGGAGGTTCTCTCCTCCCTTCAGAGAAAGGTACCTCCTTCTTTGAAGTCAGGTCCAATTTTTATATTATCTTGTCTTCCTTACATTTTTCTCTTTTCCTTTATTGCTATAGTATTTAAAGAAATTACTATCCATACTGACAAAATGGCTCAGTTCTTCCCTTTCCTTAATGAAGAAGGCTCTTTTATTGAGATGAGGGGACTCTGAAAATTACTATGAAACAAAATGAGAACTTGAGTTCAAGATCTGACACTGGAGCAGGAAGTAGAGGCCAAAGACTATCTTAGAATAACAAAAGCTTGTATTGTTGAAAGAACTCTTCAAAGAATACCAGATGTTATCACACATTTATTCCTACAACAAATCTATGAGGTACATAAAATTATTCTCCACATTAGATAGCCCCAGGAAACTGAAATGTGCCATGCTGAAATCTTTCATTTTCTCCTCCAAATTCATTCTCTACCTTTCTACTTTCTGATGATATTCATGGGCAGCTGGCATGAATAGACTCAATCAATGGATTCTCTTTTGATCCGGCTCCTAGTTGTCGCTCCCCCTCTTCATGGAGGAACGACACTAAACCCTGCCTAGGTTTCCTATCCGAGTCACAGCACCATTATGTCGCTCCCCGTCTTCGTGGAGGAACGACACAGGACCCTGCGCTGTTCTTTGGTCTGCTCGGCCTTCCCCGGGTTTGCTGCTGGTTCTTCCCGGGTTGGCTACCGTCCCTTCCACCTCCGTGGAAGGGCGGTTCCCCCTGCCACTTTCCCCACTTCCGCGGGGGAGCGGCACACCGCCGGCCGGCTCTCTCGGGGGCTGCTCAGGTGTTCCTCTTAGATGTTCCCTCAGATGTTCCTGGTGCATGTTATCTCTCTCCTCCTTTATAGTCCTCTTCCACCAATCCCAACTCTGCTACCCACACGCCGAGTACGCTGCTCTCCTCCAATCAGGAGCAGGTCCTGCTGTTTATTGGTTGAACTGGAGGCAGCTGTGTAGAAGCTGTTTCCTCCTCTCCCAGCGCCATATTGTGGGAGAGCAGATATATAGAATAAGTCTTAATTCCAGTAACAGTCTACTCCGAGTTGCTCCCCACACTAGTTGGTTTCAATAAATAGAAAACATTTTTTAAAGTTGAAAAGAAATGAGAGTGGGGTGGTGGCATTTTTTCCTGAAACCTTCACTGCTGATTTACCATGCACTGCATTCTTCCTCAACAAAAGATTATAGCTCTTTTTTTTAAAGATTTATTTATTTATTTGAAAGTCAGAGTTACACAGAGAGAGGAGAGAGAGAGAGAGGTCTTCCATCCAATGGTTCACTCCCCAGTTGGCCGCAACAGCCAGAGCTGCGCCGATCCGAAGCCAGGAGCTGAGAGGTTCTTCCAAGTCTCCTATGCAGGTGCAGGGGCCCAAGGACTTGGACCATTTTCTACTGCCTTCCCAGGCCATAGCAGAGATCTGGATCGTAAGAGGAGCAGCCGGGTCTCGAACCGGTGCCCATATGGGATGCTGGCACTTCGGGCCAAAGTATTAATCCACTGCGTCACAGTGCTGGCCCCCAAATTATAGCTTTTGATAGGTGCCTCTGCACCGCTTTCTGTAACTTATCCTAGGTGCTTGTAGCCCCAGGTTGGGAAAAACACCCCTCTGGTATTAGCCTTGATTTACTGCACTATCCTTAGTGTTTTTCCTACAGCCTAAGAAATCCTTAAATTGTCATTTTTTAAATGTACTTCAAATTACTCAACTGTAATTAGAAATTCTGCAAAACCAGATTTTAAGGCTAGCAGAACTGCATCAGCAATTAAGCAAGGTCCTAATATAATGGGGAGAAAGGAGACCCTGTGAAATGAGATAGGGCATTTGAACAGACAGTGATGATGCTGAGGATCTCTAACCCACAATACTGTGGACATCCCTTGCAGAGTTCATGAAACTCTCTCCCTCAAGAGCATTCTCATAGCCCATCTTTAAGGGAACTAGCTGAATCCTGAAAAAAAGCCTCTCAATAACTGATCAAAGACAGTTGTCTCCTCACAAAGTAACGCCTATTTGGGGGATCCAGCCCAACCTTTCTTGGTTGACTCTGAACCCTAACAAAATAAGAGCCCTATGTAGACTAGGCAGAATAACATAAGGCCAACTCCAAAGGAGATATCTACACATCCAAAAAGATACAGCAAGAGTTACTGGAGAGATAGAGGCCATAGTGGGATGTTGGAATGGACCCAGTATACGCAATTTGCTCACTAACACTATTCATACCACATAAACAGCTCAGAGAATGTCTCCAGTGATGAGAAGGTCACCACGCAGGTGAAGATTCTGCACTGGCTGTTCTCCTCGGAAGATGCTGCACTAAAATTCAGTTTCCTGATACCTGTAGAAATAATGGAATCCCAAAGTGAAACAGATCAGACGTGGCACTTAACTATCAGTGATAAGGTTGTACAATTAAATAATAAGCTTCTGGGTGAAGCCATGTCCAACTATTTTGACACAAAGGGATTTCTGGGGATGGTGAATGGATCATAGATTCCTATAAATGAGACAAGTTGGAAATTAAAATATTTCTGAACATGTATCTGCAGGTAAGTATTATATCTGCTCATTGGAAACTGAAGGAGAATCACCATAGTGAGAATCGATGGTCCCTTATTCAACCAGACTTAATACAGAATACCCAGAAGCCCTTCCTTGATTGACAGAGAGCCTGAGACCCATCAGGGAAGACCATGTAACACAATGAGAGACATATCCCAGTCCTACCCAGAGGCACCTATGGTCATTTTGTCAGATTGTGCACTAAGAAAAGGAAAACAGTTGCCCATTCGGAGGCGCAGTACAGCCTGATTCTGATGTGCTGCTAACTCCAATCACAGAAACCCCTCCACTGCCCAGAAAGACTGCTTGTGAAGTCTTGGCCCAATTTCCTTTAACAAGTGATCCATTGTGTCAGTCTGTGGAGCAAGATTAAGTTATTGATTCGCCAACTCTATCTCTTCAATGTAATCACATCCCCGCCACCTCCCTTAACTGGTCACAGCTCTTGTCTTCATACACGTTTCTCTTTCTCTAAGTTCCAATAATAACTTTTTTTCCCTGCCCCTTCAGGCATGATTGTGGCATTACTACTACTAAACTCTGGTTTACCTAAACTCTACCCACATACATTTGTTAAAAGCCCCCAAATTAAACTCTCATATTATTGTCATAATACTGTGTAAAAAAAAAAAAACCATAAAAGTTCAGTAACATTCAACACTAAGGGTTTCTGGCTTAAATGTCTGTTTATCTAGTGAATCCTTGGCCAGATGTACTCATATGACAGCTGATCTAAGACGGCTTCAGTTCTACCCCCAGGCTTCTGATCTTCAAGAAGTTATCCTGGGCATACTCCCATGGTACTGGTAGACACACAAGAAAGGGGCTGGCGCCGTAGCTCACTAGGCTAATCCTCCGTCTGCGGCGCCGGCACACCGGGTTCTAGTCCCGGTCGGGGCGCCGGATTCTGTCCCGGTTGCCCCTCTTCCAGGCCAGCTCTCTGCTGTGGCCCGGGAGTGCAGTGGAGGATGGCCGAAATGCATGGGCCCTGAACCCCATGGGAGACCAGGAGAAGCACCTGGCTCCTGCCTTCGGAGCAGCGCGGTGCACCCGCTGCAGCGCGCAGGCCTCAGCGGCCTTTGGAGGGTGAACCAACGGCAAAAGAAGACTTTCTCTCTCTCTCTCTCACTGTCCACTCTGCCTGTCAAAAAAAAAAAAAAAAGAAACACAAGAAAGTCCATGCCAAGATTCTTCTTGGATCACTTCTGCTAATATTTCACTGGGCAAAGCAAATCATAAGGTTCAGCTTGACACCAAAAAGAGAGGAAGAGGCATGACACTTCATCTTTCCTATAATGGCCATCATCGCAGAACAGTATACTCATCAAAATACTCGATATAATGCGACATCTTTTCTAGTTGGGGCCCTTTCTAATTAATTTAGGGAAATTAAGAAGATCCTTAAATTTACCCACTAACAAATCAAAGCTGGGAAATAGATCAGGCAGTCTAGCTCTAGCACTCACAACAGAAACCAACATCTTGCCTTCGATACTGATAAACAGATGTAGGTAACATCAAAGAACAAAGGCAAACCAAGTTTCAGCAAGTGAACAAGCTGCACCATTGGTCAGGCCCAATAGATAAGAATGAGAAGACAGAAAATGAAGTAATATTTAGAGGTATGTAAGGGTAAGATATGAATGGAACAAAAATATGAAAACTCTTCTAGGTCAAAGAACCCAAGATGTTAAAACATGAACAACATAGGGAATACCCAAAATTTTCCTTTAGTGACTTTAGCTACATGGTGGTTGTCCTTGATTGAATGATAGAAACTTATGTTGGACATATGCAATAACAAAATTTATAAACATGGGAACATTGCAAAAATTTTAAGATATCATTGAGAGTTTTCTGCTGTTGTGCCTATAGTTGTTGATTCTCCCCTCTTTTTTTTTTATTATCCCTACCCTACTCCCTTTTCTCCTTTTTTGACATGCTTATCCCTCATCACATTTATCTGTCTTGCCTTGATGTTCTTTCTTGTCCCCTTTCTCTTCTACTATTATTAAAGATGGTACTAAAGTGAAATTCTGAGTATATCCTATTATGAGTTCTTACATATTTCAGAGTCTGTCTTGATTGACTGCTAATGATTTTGCTTTCACATTCTCATTAGATTGGAGAACAAAGTTAAGATTTTTTTAAGGTACTCACTGATATCAGAAAAAGGCAAGGAAACTCAGAAGACAAGCTGAACACGACAGAGCCAAAGCTTATAAAGTAAGTTATTGCCATAGCTCACAGAAAAATTTTATTCAACTATTCTTTCACATTTCATTATAGTAAATTAGTGAATACCACATGTGACTTATTGGGGTCAAAGTGAAAAGGGGAAAACAATACATTTCCTCTATATCCCCTGGGTCAGGAGTGATGGCAAGTGGAAATGAGTTAAGAGATCAGCGTGAGAACAGTATCACTGTACATTACAAAAATACAAGTGATAGTGTTTTGCAGACAGCTTATAGGAAGACCTCAAAATTTCCTTTCATCATCAGAAAAATACACTTCTACAAATATAGCAGGCTACAATTTTCTCTAGTTTCTCATTAATGTTTGACTTTTAACAGAATGCCAGGCACAAGCCACAATGAAATGTCATCTGTAACAATATAACAAGATTTAAACTCCTGTAGAATGTCTACAAGATGGATCAACATTCCTATGAAATCTTCTCTATAACAATATTCTGCATGCTGCATAATGGTGTGTATTTTGCATTCTATAGCCAGTGTAATACATTGGCAGTCAGGAAAATAGTAAAAATATTACCATACAGTAAGCCTTCCCGGATGCAAACAACTTTCATTATTAGCAAAATAAATTTCAGAACATTCAAGGCAAAAGAAGGCTTCTCATCTAAAGATGGCAGCTGGACATCACCTCCTACCTCTATTCTCTCTGGAATCAGCTGCTCTTTTTTCTTTACTCCCAATAGTGTCACAGTCCTGGGCTGGAGTAGAAAATGTTGTTTCCTGTTTCATGCTACGGTTCAAGTTCAAACCCCCATGGTCCAAACCACAGCTGAAATCACAATGAAACAGTTAAATAAAAATTTTATGAAAGTTGAAGATCACAAAGGGGAAATCTGCGCAGAAAGCAACATTAAAATAGATATATATGTGATGACTATAATATTTTTAGAATAATACAACTATGTATTTTTAATTCCCTATGGCTCTCTCAGGCATTGAGTCAAGAGTTTTCATTGCTTTAGCAGAATCCGTAACATCAAGGAAATGAATTGCTCAGATTTGAGTTTTAAATCATATTTGTTAGGTTTAAGGTGAGAAAATTTCCTTGAAACCCAGATTTCCTTAAGTAGAAGGTTTTCCCCACTCCCACCTCCATGGCCATGTGTACACACACACACACACACACATGACCCTTAATTTACAAAAGCTTCTCTACATACCAAGAAACAAAGTTCAGAGGAATTTTTTTTTTTCTCAAATGGACTGCCAAGCAAAGAAGTAAAGGCATGAATTAAAGAAAACTGCCATTCACAGGGCCAAGCATCTCCTAGAGGAAAAGTAGGAGAATAGAGAGGAATGTTGGGTAAATAATTCTCAAGGGACTTTCTGCCCTTTCCCCTATGACTAGGGTCAAACCCACTGCCTATAGAAAGAGTTCATCAATGAAAGAAAGGTATTGAAACACTCGCATTTGCAGGATCTCTCACAGAAGGAGTCATCTCTGCTTCCCAGAAGTGCATGCATCTCAGAGAAACTGGTTTCTTCCTGGTGCTGCCCCCAACATGGTTCCCTAGCAAAAGTACAGAAATAGCTGAGAATGAGGCAGAGCAAGGCACACAATGGTGATCAAATAAGGCACTCGAGGGATTATCTTCCCAGAGACACACCAGTTTGAACAACTACTCAGACCGAGTTACGTTTACAAGAGCTATGAAAGCAAGTAAGAGTCAATAATACCTGATTTTACTGTAAATATAATAAAAAGTCACTTAAGAAAACAGAAAATAGGAAGGAAAGAGTTGTTCATGTCAGTACTTCTCCATCTCCAACTACGACAGCATAGAGAGAGATATCTCTCACTTCGAGGAGGGAAAGGTGATTCATTTCAGACCATAGATTACAAGGCCTTCCATGACAAAAACAAGTTTTAGTAAGTAAGACTGAATTTTTGGACCCTTGGTAGTCAGGCAGTTAAGGAACTATCTACACCTCCATCCCGCAACCTCTAGTACACAGTGGAGTAAGATTCCAACTACTGGGGAGTATGGCAGGAAAGAGAGCCTTAAGATCTTGCTTTGGAGCCAGAGGCAGGCCCACTGCAGTGAGACCTATCACCTGGTAAGACCAAAGGCTTCTACCCTTACAACAGTGCTTATAGACAGAGCAACTAGACTTGCCTGGTGTCAAGTACAGCTCTGCACTCTGGTTGGATGGACTTGTTTTGACATGTATCAACAGCAATCTTCTGTGGGTCCACATGCACCCCCAAGACTGTCCTGTGCCTGATAATTGTGAGACCACACGTGACCTGTCTTACTGTAATTGTAGGTGGTCAAGGAGCTGCCTTTTTTACCCCTTCCCCAACCCTGAGCAGTTAGCCAAGAACCACAGGACTGTGTCTTAGGACACAATGCCAGGCTGGTAAAATCTAACATTGGGCAGATTCACAGTTAACTTCCCCAGAGCAATGCTCCTGAAACCTGCAGATACTCCCCAGTGGCCAAGTGAAGTCTCATGGCCCAGTTTATTGGATATGCATCCCAGCCAGCATCACCTTTGGCTGGTTGGTAACATTCTCAGCCTGTGAGTCTACTCAGCAAGCAGAGAGCCCATGACACGGTGGGCTTTTTTCCTATCCCAGTATTGATTTGGTTTCAAAGGGCAGTGGTTTCTTGGTATGACCTAGCATTATGGTGTTAATGACCACAGGACAGAACATTTAATACTGCCCCAGCCCCAGGAGGAAACTGCTAGCACAATCCAGTCCTCTTAAGACAGTTTATTCTGAAAAACATGCAATCTATAGATTTGAGACAAATCTGGGCTTGGACATTTTCTAGGGCTGAAATAATGACAACACATCAAAAGTGGACTTGCAGTACCCTCACAGTATCCTCAAGTTCGGACGCCACCTTGTTCTGCAGTAGCATAAATGTCCATATACTCAGAGAAAATAAGAAAACAACTTCAAGAATGGAGGAGTGACAGCCATAAATGGAGCCAAATTATAAGGATAGGAAACAATACCTAAGCCCTCAATGCACAGATGATATACACCGACAAGGAGCAACAACTTTAAGGGAACTGTGACCTTACTCAAGGAATAAAATAAGATAGCAGGAACCAAACAGATAGGAACTGATATTTTCAAGCTCTTGGATAAAGAAGTCAAAACTGTGGTTTTAACACTGTTGAAACAACATATTTCAATAGAACACAGAGAAATGATTTTTTAAAGATTTATTTATTTGAAAGTCAGAGTTACATAGAGAGAGGAGAGGCAGGGAGAGAGGTCTTCCATCTGATGGTTCACGCCCCAATTGGCCACAATGGCTGGAGCTGTGCCAATCCTAAGCCAGGAGCCAGGAGCTTCTTCTGGGTCTCCCATGTGGGTGCAGGGGCCCAAGGAATTGGACCATCTTCTACTGCATTCCCAGGCCACAGCAGAGAGTTGGATCAGAAGAGGAGCATCCGGGACTAGAACTGGCGCCCATATTGGATGCTGGTGCTTCAGGCTAAGGTGTTAACATGCTGTGCCACAGTGCCGGCCCCAGAGAAATGATTTGATTCTCTAATAGAGAGACTTGAGTAAAGGAATTAATTTTTAAAAACCAAACAATTTTTAAACTAAAAATACACTAAGTGACTTTCAGGAATTTTTTTTTTTTTATTTCTAATAGTATTTTGGTAGGGTCTTTAGGGCTTCCTATAAATAGTATCAAGTGACTTCAAAAAGTAACCATGTGCAGTGATCAATGGTGTGCTACATACCAATAGTAAATTATCTGAAAAAGAAATCAAGGAAAATATTACATTTCTAACAGTTACAAGGAAATTAAAAATCAGAGTATATTTAACCAAAGAGGTGAAAGATATCTGAAATGAAAATTATAAACAAATCACAAACAAGTTGAGGAGAACTCTAAGAAATCAAGATATCTATACCCATGGCTTGAAGGAATCATTATCATTAAAATGTCCATGTTATCCAAAATGACTTAACATATTCAATGTGATCCCCATCAAAATACCAATGATATTTTTCACTGAACTAGAAAAGACCCTACAGAAATTTGTGTGAAACTTTAAAAGACCCCAAATGTATAAAGCAATCTTTGGAAAAACAAAGAAGGAGGCATTAAACTGCCTTAATATAAAGGTCCAGTAATTGAAATAGCATGTCACTGGCATAAAGACATGACCATAGGGCAATGATGCACAATAGAAACTCTAGAAGTGAACCCATTTATCTACAGCCAATCTAACTTTGCAAAGATGCTAAGAACATACATTGGAAAAAGAGTAGTCTCTTCAATAAATGGTACTGAGAAATTTGGATATGCAGATGCAGAAGAGTGAAACTAGATCCCTATGTCATCATGTACAAAAGTCAATCAAAATGTTTTAAAGAGAATAAAGACCTATATTTAAGGCCTGAAATCTCAAAACTAACAGAAGAAGACATAGTAGAAATGTTTAGGACACAGAAATGAGTGTTTTTGGATCAGACCCCAAAAACACAGCAAATAAAACCAAAATAGACAAATTAGATTTCATCAAACTAAAGAGATTCTGTACAGCAAAGGAAACAGTTAACAGAGTTAAAAGGCAACTCACAGACTGAGAGAAAGTATTTGCAAGCCATATATCTGACAAAGGAATAATAATCAGAATAGATGAGGAACTCAAATAACTCATTAAAATAATAATAACAATTAAAATAGGCAGTATCTCTAAACAGACACATCTCAAAGGAAGGCATACAAATGCCATCAGGCACATGAAAAAATGCTTAGTATCACCAATAACTAAGAACATGCAAATGAAAACCACAATGAGATATCATATCATGCTAGTAATACTGGCTATAATCAAAAAGACAAAATATAACAAGGGGTGGCTAGTGAAGATAGGGAAAATAGGAAACCCTTCTGGCCGGTGCTGTAGCGGAATGGGTAAGGCCACTGCCTGCACTGCCAGCATCCTATATGGGTGCCAATTTTGAGACCTGGTTACTCCACTTCTGATCTAGCTCTCTGCTGTGGCCTGGGAAAGCAGTAGGAGATGGCCCAAGTTCCTGGGCTCCTGTACCGGTGTGGGAGATCCAGAAGAAGCTCTCGGCTCCTGGCTTCAGTAGGTGCAGCTCCAGGCGTTGCAGCCATCTGGGAATGAACCAGTGGATAGAAAACCTCTCCCTCTATGCTTCTGCCTCTCTGTAGCTCTGTCTTTCAAATAAATAAACAAATCTTTAAAAAAAAATTAGAAACCCTTCCAGGTTACTGATTGAAAAGTAAATTATTACAATCATTATGGAAAGCAGTTCCTCAAAAAATTAAAAACTACCATATAATATATAAATCCCACAACTGGGTATGTATTAAAGGGGACTGAAACCACTCTATTGAAGAGACATCTGCACTCACATGTTTATTACAACACTATTCACAATTGTCAAGAAATTATAACAATTGAAGTGTTTATCAACTGATGAATGGGTAAAGAAAATGTGGTGTCTATACATAATGGAATACTATTCAGCCATAAACAAGAATTAAATCTTGTTTGCAACAAAATGGATGGATATGGAGGTCATTATTTTAATTGAAATAAGCCAAGAACAAAAAGACAAGTATCATGGTATCTAGCTCATACATGGGATCTAAGAGTTGATCTCACTGGGAACTGAGAGTATAATAGTGGTTACAAGAAACTGTTGAAAGCGATGAGGGAAGACTGGGGAAAGGCTGATGAGAGGGTAATAAATTACAGTTAAGTAGGAATAGGAATTTCTGGTATTCTGTTGCATGACAGGGTAACTAAAGATAATAATAATGAGATATTTTCTTTTAAAAATAGAAAATGGATTTTAAATTATTTCACCACACATAAATGATAAATGATTGAGGACATAGGTATGGTTACTCTGATTGGAAATCACACAATGTATGTATGTATCCAAACACCATATGCATAATTTTATGTGTTATTTAAAAATTTAAAAAAATAAGTAGATGAGAGAAGTAACTGTAGATTCCTGTAGTTATAATAGTGGACAGAAGATGCAGAAGTTTCCACACCCCTAAGGAGCAAGCAAAATTTCAGTAGACATTAACCATGGTACACACGATATGAGGATGAGGGTCATGTTTTGAAGAATAAAATAACTCTACAGCAGACGACTTGAAGAAAACTGCCCAGAGGTCAAGTGGGATGCCTACCATGCTTCAGAGGGTCAAGAACTTCAACAGCACAAGTGAGGAGTCTCAGTCAGCAAGTGGGGAGCCCCAATCTTGATCATGCCTAGAGGAAGAATGAGGAACGAAGAAAAGTTGAGCTCAGATACAAGAAACAAACTATGTTTATACACCCTTATTAATGACCCTTATTTTATACCTTCTGGCATGAAAATGGAGCTATCTAATATCTAGCTTACATATTAAAGAAAATGTGATAATTTCGTTGGAACATGTTGTGGTTTTTGTATATAGTTTGTACCTGCCAAAACTCATGTTGAGATTTTGTTCTACAACATAATGGTGTTGAGAGGTGTGGAATCTGGAATCTTTAAGAGGTATTTAAGGTCATAAGAGATTATCCCTCTGGAAGGAATTAATGCAGTCCATGAGAGACTTGATGGTAACCACCAAAGTGGATTTTGTGAAGCCTGTATGATGCTTCCATTTGTTCCTCACACAGATGTGCTCTTCCTCATGCACCCATTTTGCCCTCCAAATTTCAGCCATAAGTTGTTGCAGCATGAAGTCATCACCAGCATCCACACAAATGCCAGTGCCATGCTCTTGGATCTCAAGAACTGCAAGCTAAATAAAGCATTTTTCTTTATAATTGCTTATTCTCAGGTATCTGTTGAAGCAACAGAAAATGAGCTAAAAGGGAGTATAATGGGTAGCTCTTGGCCATCATCACCTCCCTTGGACATCTGTCCTGTTTACTTAACACAGTATAACGGTTATGAGCATTAATTTGGAATCAGACTTGAGGGCAAACCCTGGCTAAATCACTTAATATTATTAGATCTTAACCGATGTTAACTCATATGACCTCAAATTAATCATCTTAAAATAAAAATAATAATTGTACTTATAAAATTGTTGTGAGGAGAAATTATATATGTAAAATGTTTAAAAGAATGTTTGACTTACACCAAGAGCTTACAGTGTGTTTGTGTGTTTTCCATGAAAATGTCCTAAAATACTATCAGAATATGAAGAAAATTTGTAGACTTGCACTAGAGGCATCAATAATTTCATATTCCCTAGAAGGTTACCTGATTTTAGCCTGGCAATTCTTCAGATATAAAGAGGCAATATTGCAGGTTCCATGGCATATGTGCTGTCACTCGTGTTCAGTATGATGAAATGATATATTCAGGAGCTATGTAAGAACACTCACCATAACAATGACTAATATTGGCCAAAGCTTATTGAACAATTTCATTACATAATGCTATTATAAATGTTCCTCATCTACTTGTATGAGTTCATTTAATTCCATAGTAATCCCAGTAGATAAAGACTGCTAGAATTAACATTTTATAGAAGGAGAAATTGAGGCAAAGAAAGGATAAATAACTTCTCAAAGGTCACAAGGCAATGAGTGATAGAGCTGGCATTTGAAACCTGGCAGTCCAGCTTAATACACCTCACTGCATTCCTCTGTTTGGGAACTGTCTCTATTCTCCATGCTGGTAGCATCTTAGAACTACCATCTGTGTGATGACCCCTGCCTTCTGTATAGTGGCTTTTCTTTAAGCTTTGCATCATCCTTCTTCCTTTACCTTTTCTTTCCTCTCCTTGGTGTACAACTGTCATCCAATGAAGATAACACTTCTGTGAATAAGCCAGCCAATCACATTGCATTTTACTATTATTTTCATGTCTGGGAATTCTCAGCAATACAAGTGCATGCTCTGAGACTTCTTTGGTTACAAATGAGTACACAGCTGCTCCAAACAGCTGAGCCAGCTAATCGTCTCTGAACCCTTTTCCCTATGGATTTGTCTTGATAAGGCATCCAGATGTGTCAGATAGTTGTAAATTTTGATCCTGAAACAATGAGTACCACTTGGCTTTTGGATGCACAGATGCTCTGTGGACTTGCCTCAGGCTTCACCCTTTTGGTAAACCTCTGTGCAAGTCTGCAACACAGCACAGATGGCGGTGCCCTCATAGCTATCTGTTTACAAGACCATCAATGTGATCATGTGGCCCCTAGAACTAAAACTTACATGCCTCACTGATTCCAAGGATCTAGAATGAACAGTGCATATGGAATGCTTAATGTTGTCTTATTTATTGTAATTTATTAAGACACCATAGATTGTTATTTGAATGTTTCATGATGTGTCATCTTACAGTCTAAACAGATGGTGAAGCTAAGTCAGAATAGTTGACTTAATCCCAAAACCTTGTCCTTGAGTTGTCTTCTATGCCCAGATCACCAGTGGATAACTTTTTTTTTCTTACAGAAAGTTAAGTTTAAAGTCTTGAGGATAAGTGATATCCAAACCTGGATAGTTTGAAGAAAATGTTTACAGAGAAATGAAAGTTTTCTCTGAATTAACCAAATCATTCCAGAGTCACTGTTCTTCTGATTCTAGCTTCAGAAAGGTATCAACAGAAAATCCTGAAGGGTATTACTATTGTTTGAACATGTTTTCATGTCTGTCCACCAAAGGTTCTTGCACTGAATGCTTGGGCGTCTATGTGGTAGTATTGAGATGGTGGAATCTTTAAAAGATGCTAAGAGATTAGGCCTTTGGCAGGAATTGGGTCATGGAGCTCCACCCTCATAAAAGGATTAAAGCTGTATCTCAGGAGTGGGTGAGGGTCTTATGGGATGGGTTTGGTTCATGTAAGAGTGAGTTGCTACGGCCAGCGCCACGGCTCACTAGGCTAATCATCTGACTGCGGCACTGGTACTCCGGATTCGAGTCCTGGTTGGGGCACTGGTTCTGTCCCGGTTGCTCTTCTTCCGGTCCAGCTTTCTGCTGTAGCCCAGGAGGGCAGTGGAGGATGGCCCAAGTGCTTGGGCCCTGCACCCGCATGGGAGACTAGGAGGAAGCACCTGGCTCCTGGGTTTGGCTCAGTGCAGCGCCGGCTGTGGTGGCCATTTGGGGAGTGAACCAATGGAAGGAAGACCTTTCTCTCTCTCTCTCACTGTCTAACTCTGCCTGTCAAAAAAAAAAAAAAAGAGTGAGTTGCTATAAAAGAGGAAGCCTAACACCTCCCCATTCTCTTGCTTCTTTATCCATACACATATTTCTCCCACACATAGATGGATCCTTTTCAGATTCTCTGCTGTGTTGAAATGCAGCAAAACAGTCAAGCCACGCTGTTTGAATTTAGCAGCCACCAGAATCATGAACCAGATGAACTTCTTTGCTTTACGTATAACCTGCTGTAATCTACTTATGTTATAGAAACATAAAACAGAATAAGAAAATCCTTAACTCAATTTTATATTTTTAAAAGGAGTAAGGAAATCCTATAGAGATTAATGATGTAGTTTTCATTTTCCACTGATAACTATATTCTCAGCTACATAGGAAATATTTGTTTTCCTCATAAACAAAGTTTGTGCTTATGCAAATGGCTAAGTTTTTACTATGTATAAAAGTGCTTTAAAGTTGAACATCTATAAATTCATTTTATGCCTACATTTTTGAGACAAGGTAATTTCAAAGAATAATTCTATTAAATATAAGTAACTAAATATTATTAATTAATACTTCTATATTCCCTTAAGTGGCTTTTAATCCTTACTCTGGTAATATTATTTTTATTACCAATAAAAATTAAATGTGCACATTAAATATATAACACATAATTACTAGTATACCATAAAGTGTTTGCTATCATCTTCTAAATTCAACTTAAAATCAAAATACTTTGAATAGTTGAATATAGACACAAGGATAATATTTGTTTCTCATTAATATATAAAATTTATAGTTACTGAGTTGAAATGTCTTTGAGGAAATAGACCACATCTCATATGTAATGAGATTTTCTTAGTTAAAATTTGCTTTAACAATCTCAATATTTCAGAACAGAAAAAAGATCTGGGAAGGGAAAGAAAACTGGAATTTGTGAGTATCCTGGTGAAAGCTGCAGCCATCAGAGTAATTGAGATCACCCAAAGATAATACAGACAATGACAGGAAAGAGAGGAGGCAGAACCCTGGTACACTAACATTTAAAAGGCAAGAGAAGGGAGTCTGTGAAACAGACAGATAAAGCCTTGCAAATCTATATAAAGAACTACAAGAAAGAATAATGCCATTAAGGAGTGAGAGTGCTGGGAAAACAAAGACAAAGGCACTGGTTTTCATAATGTTTAAAAACAAAAGAGTAGGCAGGGTGTGTTCCATACATATGCCGTACATATACAGATGTTGGTCTGTATTGGTCCTAGGTGATAGTTGTATAACCAACACAGTGAGAGGAGAATGGCCTAGGAGTTTACCAGGAGGAGATCAATGATGTCACGTGAGGGTCAATGGAGAAAGTATAGGCAATGAGTGAGGGAAGCATCCTGGAATCAGATTCCTTGGGTGCATTTCTGATTCACTCAATAACTTACTTGGACAAGAGAATGCCACCCACAGAGTGACGATAATGAAAGAACCTATAAGGTAATATTGTTGTGGATATTAAATGAGACAACACAACAAAGCAATGGAATAGTGTTGCACAGTCAGTTCATAATTAACATTAGTTGTTTTCTTTTTTAGCATAGATGCGTGGCACACTGTTCCTAACACTGCATCAGATAACTAATTCATATGGCTTGAGCAACAGTCTTTCTACACATATGTGTTATATCTATTCTTCCTAGCTCATAAGCACCAAAGATACCACATTCTTATTTAATATGCACACAATTGACTGACTTCTGGGGCCAATCTATCCTGTTACATGTCAGCATTTTTGTGCATGTTCAGGAGCAAGTCCTTTAGACCAGTCATCAAGTCTCATAATTCTTAATTCCCATTAGTAAGTGACCGTAGTTGGTGGTTGCCACCACGCTGGGGAAGAGGTGGGGCTACCTACGCTCCACCACACTAAGTCAGGAGATGACAGCTTCTCTTACTTCTCCAGATCACAGCTCAGAGTCTGTTGCAACCTTTCCCAAAGCTTCACAGGGAGAGTGTAGATGAACAAAAGTCCACATGGCTGCACATAACTCACTTCCTGATGTGACTGCTCTCAGGGCCCACAAAACCACCTGTGTTCAGCCTCTCTTTCAGGATTTTCACTGTCTCCACATGACAGGCACATTTGGTCTGGGGTGTAGAATCCAAGTCCAGCTTTCACAGTCCCTGGATGAGGAAGTGTTGCACCTGCCCTGCAGTCATTAATTCATATTAATAAATTCTGAAATCATTGCAAAAAAGGTGTCTTTCCTTTCTCTATTTGTCTTTTCCTGGAATGTAGAAACTTCATATTTTATCCAAAGTGCATATGCATTCAGACCAGGGCCCAAAAAGCATCCTGAAGAGTCTGGGTGACATTTACCTCTGCTGCTCCAGGAAGAATACATATGGATTAGGGCAGGCAGAGATCTCTTAGTCCCTGAAGTGAGAGGGAAAACCTTCTTCTCTTTCTGAAGGTACTTTTTGCTGACCTTTTTCTGGCCCTTGGTTTGGGATCCAGTTGTGTATTATGGAATATTCTGCCAGCTCTCAAATAGGTGGTATTGGCACATCTAGTCCTTCTCTGTAACTTTCCTCGATGACCTAATTATCATGTTTGTTTTTTCATTCTTTCCAGGGTCCCATCCTCCTCAATATACTCAAGGAGTCCCAGTGATTTATTCAGTTAATACCGTGGAGTAACCACATCCCTCTGAGGAAGACATTTTCATTTTGTGTGCAGGTAATAAGAACCTTACGAACTCTCATCTTTAAGAGTTGGGCCCTGCTCATTCAAAATGAACTAAATGTTGAGAATATTCTCTGAATAATATTATTCAGAGTGAATGGCAGCTGGTTAACATTCTGCTAACTGTGGAGCTTGTCACTTTGCTACCAAGCACAATTTCCACTCTCCTCCTCTTTGTCTTCAGGACATCAGGAATATGGCTTTATTGATCCTTCGGACCTGCCTGCTAGGGAAGACTCCACTATGACAGCCCCAGCCTGAAGTCTGTTGGAAGTGCTTGGAATAAAGCATATTGTGGCACTTTGGAGTTGAAGGAGTAACAAACAGAAATTAAAATGAATTTTCCTCAACCTAAAGCTAGAAGGAAGAAAGGAAACAGAGAACACTGTGGAAACTCTGCAAGGCATTTGCATAGGCAAAGACTTCTTGGAAAAGAACCCAGAAGCACAGGCAATCAAAGCCAAAATTAACAAATGGAATTGCTTCAAACTGAGAAGCTTCTGTACTGCAAAAGAAACATTCAGCAAAATGAAAAGGCAATTGACAAAATGGGAGAAAATATTTGCAAAATATGTAAATAATAAAGGATTAATATCCAGAATCTATAAAGAGTTCAAGAACCTCAACAACAACAAAACAAACAATCAAGTTATGAAATGGGCAAAGGACTTGAACAGGCATTTTTCAAAAGAGGAAATCCAAGTGGTC